TGATGTATTTTCATCAATCGTTATCTCATTTCTTTTGTTGAGTAAATCAGCCAACCTAATTTTCAATGTGAAATGAATATTTTTTCTTTTGTATCATAACATGTCATTTTATGGGACGAACCGAGTATAATATGTGCCTATGTCCAGGGCCGGCCCTGGGGAGGGGCAGGGGGGTGGCCGCCCCGGGCCCCCACAAGGTAGGGGCCCCCATCCAGGTATGTACAAGGTATATACGTATAGCAGGCTGTAGGCCCATGTCAAACAAAATAGCCAAAGACGAGGCCTTTTATCAGCCTTTCACGCACATGCACAGGCTCGCAAGCGAAACGAGCCGCAGCGGCAGGATTAGCGACATGTGCGGCTTGATTAGCGATCGCTTTCCTTCGTCCTCCACGTTAAAAAAAGACAATAATATGCTATCCTTTCACAGCTTCACTTAGGAAAAAAAAAGGCCGATCGTGATCCTGTCGATTCTCGACAGTTTGACCCGTCTCATCACGCAGGCTCCCAGCCCTAGGCCACCGCCTGCCGTCGCCGACGCGCCGTACTGCAGGTCTGCCGACTGCCATATGCCTCTTGCTAATTTCTAATTCTCTTCTCCTAATCTCCTTCCTAATACAGTTCACAGCTGATTTCAATTCAGAGGGCCCTCAGTCTTGGTCAATTGCTCATTGCTCTCCGAGTCTAGGCGCTGCAAACAGCACTCGGACTGACGCTATCAAAATTCAGACCATCAGAACCAGGCATACTACATTTGTGTTTGGCCGTCCCTTGATGCGTATGTGGTACTGTTCAATAATTGATGCAAAAATTACTTTTCCAGGATTGTGTTTTAGCATGCCTCCGAGAAATAGGAAGTATGCATCAGGTAGCAAAAAAAGGAGAAAGAAGAAGGCCGTAGATAAATTGGTACAATCACAACATGGACATGTGCACAGATATTTCAAGCGTACTTCCACTACTTCAATAAACCGAGGTGATGAGTTGGCGATAGTTGCCATAGAGGAAGAGCAACAAAATAATGTGAATTCAGAATCCGATCAGCAAAAAGAAAATGCCGACACCAACATCGACGACAACAATGTAAGTGGCTCCGAGAATATAGGTAATTCATCGGATGCACAAGGACAGTCTCCTAGTGTTGATGAACCAGTATATACTCCTGATATTTATGATCCAAGAAATTGGGATAATCTTGACAATAAAGCAAGAGATGTATTAGTTGAGAAAGGGCCAATGAGAGAGGAAGAGGATAAAATGGAATACTGTGTAGATGATGCAGGAAGACATTTTTCCTATGTTCATTATCATAGGAAATTAAGGGAGAAACATGATAGAAAATGGCTAGTTTATTCAGAAGGTGTTGACAAAGTTTTTTGCTTTTGTTGTAAGATCTTCAAGTCTAGCCGTAGCAGGAGTTAGAGTTCCTTAGCACATGATGGATTAGATCATTGGATCATCTGATGTAGAGGTATATGATCTTATTTCTGAATTAAAGATTATGAGATTCACTTTGCCAAATGGTGTAATGTCTGCCATGGAGATTTTTGGGCATGTCAAAGAAGTTGATTGTTATCCAAATATCTTCATTGCTTATCGCATCTTATTCACTGTGCCTGTGACGGTCGCATCGGCTGAAAGAAGCTTTTCAAAGCTGAAATTGTTGAAGAATTATTTGAGGTCAACAATAACTCAAGAGAGGTTAAATGGTTTGGCTACATCATGCATCGAGAAGAAATTATTGGATGAGATTGACATCGACCCCATCATAAGCGACTTTGCATCGAGGAATGTTAGAAGAAATTTTTAAGGTATTATGTATAAATTATTTGATACGCACACTGATTTTGAATGCATTGGAGTGTTATTGCTAAATATTCATATATACATACATTTATTTTTACTAATATGATGTGTTTACTAAGGGCCCCGGATTTTAGGTTCGCCCTGGGCCCCCAAAATCTCAGGACTGACCCTGCCTATGTCTAGAAAACTTCTCTGAGAACCGAAAAATACCTTGAATATAAAGTTAAACGACAATAACAAAAAGGCACAACCAAAAGCATCACTTTAGATAGTGCTTAATTCCTCATGGCGGCACAACTCGACTACCACCTCACCGAGATAATTCACCGATGTAATTCTAATCATGGACACATCGAATCATTCTCACAAACACAATTAAGCTTTAAATGGCTAGGATTAGGATACCTCTAACCGAACTCACAAAACGTTTCCTTTCAATTTTCTCTGCAAACCTTAACTCCTCAAACACGAGTTAAAAATGCGTGCAGCTAGCATAACTCTCAAATATAACTCCTCGGATCCAGTTTGTGCACAAAAACCTCATTCAAAACTCAAATTTGAAAGTATACTAAGACCACACAGTGCATAATTATATAGTATTCATAACACAACATCACGGTTCATAATTAAAAGTAGATAACACTTACTTTCGAGCTAAATTAAAGTTAAAACGAGCTACATTTATGCTAAAACAAGCACTAATCAGAGTTAGAGCCAAGTTTTATCATTGCCGACCTGGCGGAGCCTAATGCATCGCCATTGTGGGCGTCCCTGTGCATCTTCGGCACCTGATTGTTGCCCGTGTTAAGATTCACGACAATCGGTGGCAGTAGTGATGCCCGACGCTCGGCAGCAAGTCGCGCTTCAATGGTGCGGTCCTCCACCATTTGCCCGGGGATCTGTGTGGAGGGTGTTGACGTGCATGAGGCGAGCGACACCTTGGTGGCTCGGTGCTCCTCCTCCTCCCAAGGTTGGAGGGGCACCAAGACATCGTGTGGTGCACCTTTGTGCTGGCGTGGGATTGCTTCCCCTCACCTTCCTCCTCTCCCTCTTTATCCTTCTCCTTCGACGGTTTAACGCCGGAGTGGGGTTGTTCCTCCTCCACTAGTAGATAAAGGGCCTTTAGTCCTGGTTCTGGAACCAGGACTAAAGAGTCGTTACTAAAGCCTTCCCCTTTAGTCCCGGTTCTTATACGAACCGGGACTAAAGGCCCTCCACGTGGCCGCTGCCCGGAGGTCCACCTTTAGTCCCGGTTGATAACACCAACCGGTACTAAAGAAAAATTTATAAATTTTTTTTGAATTTTTTTATTTTCAAATTTCTGAATTATTTTAACCTCTAATCACCCCTCATCACTACTCAATTTAACCTCTAATCTCTAATCACCCCTCATCATTCCAAATCATCTAACTTTCCGGACGGTCACGCATCCTCTCACTGCTCCAGCCTGAGCACGCTTAACTTCCGGGTTCTATTCTCCCTCGTTTCCAAGTCTGCACTTGTTGTTTTCCTGACAATAGTAAGATGTCAATCCTATTAACCCTCAGGAATTTAGCTTGAGCATGAAGTCACACATTTCACTGTTTGAGTTTGAAACTATTGTTCTAAAAAACAATAATTATTTAGTAACACTAATATTTCTTGAATAAGTAGTTTGACCATAGTTTGACCACAGTTTGACCATAGTATGACCAGATTTGACCAAAATTAAAAAAAAATTATTTAGTAATACTAATATTTCTTGAATAAGTAGTTTGACCATTGTTTGACCATAGTTTGACCAGATTTGACCAAAATTTAAAAAACTGAAATAATTATTTAGTAACACTAATATTCTTGAATAATTATTTAGTAACACTAATACTTCTTGAATAAGTAGTTTGACCATAGTTTGACCAGATTTAATGAAAATACAAAAAAAACTGAAATTTGAGCATAATTTTTTTTCCTTTTAGAATTTGAGGATTCTAAAAATTTGCAAACAGGCCGTAGGCCGTCAAAATCGAAGCGGATTTTCGTTCTGAACATTTTGATATATTATACTTTTTTCCGAACATCGTATGCAAAAGTTATAGTCGTTTTACATTTTCCCTACATTTTTTGCAAAACATGTCCAAATTTAAGTTTTTAAATTTTCCGAACTAGTAGATGTAGTAATATAACTACCTCTCGAAGGATTTTATTTTTTGAAGTTTTTATCATTTTCTTTTGATTTTTTCGAAACAAAAAAGGTGATCCACCAAGGGGGGTAGAGTTTGAAAATGGGACCTTTAGTCCCGGTTTGAGGTTTAGGGTCCCGGTTCGTGCCTCAAACCGGGACTAAAGGGCTCAGGTGAACCGGGACTAATGCCTTAGCCGCACGAACCGAAACCGATGCTCACATTAGTCCCGGTTCGTGACTGAACCGGGACTAATGGGCTAACCCGGCCTGGACCTTTGCCCCCTTTTCTACTAGTGCTCCGCCTGCTTCATTGCGTCGCTGGCGTCCCTCACGACGACTAGCGGGAGGTGTTGGCATGAGTAGGCATAGCGATGGGTGGGGAGCAGCCTACAGCGACGGATCAAGCGGTGGTGGTGATTCGAGCGACGACGGTGGCAAATCAAGCGGCAGCACTTTTGGGCGAGGTGATTTCAGTCTGGATTCTGACAATTTTGGGGGGAAATGGGTGGCAATGAGGAAGACCTAGGGTTTGGGTGAGGCGCTAGTAAGAATTTATAGCGGCGGGATGTCAATCGGTCGTCGCGGCGGCGGTTCTGCCGTTTTATGTAGTAAGAAGAGCTAGCTCGTGATTTGAGGAGAAAGTGGCGTTGCTCTCTCAAATTTGATCCAAAAAAGAACCTTTTGAGATTTAACTCCTCAAACTTTTGAGAAGTTATAGGTTTGAGGCTTCGGTTAGGTTTGATTAAATCCTCAAAATATGCCAATTTGGGAATTTGAGGTGTAAGTAATAAAGATCTTTCCACATAAATTGGGTATACTTAGACCGTTTGACGGCTGATTGAAACCCTCTAGGGCCTTGTTCAGTTAAACTTCTCTCAAAAAGGATTTAAGGAGATTGAGGGGAGGTATAACTTTTATATCCCTCCTATTCAAATTGGAAAGAGTTGGTGAAACAAATCGAATCGTATGCACCAGCACATCTTAAGAAAAAAGATAACTTCCAATCCACAAAGCACACACCACACAACTCTTTTCACGACGCATCCATAAGCTCCATGACCTTCTTCACGCTCGGTCGATCCATCATCCCATCAATCCAAGCCTTCACACGTGGATACGCATCGAGAACCGACGCGCAGGGGCTGGCCAGCAGGTAGTGAGCCATGGGGCAATGGCTGAGGTCCGCCAGGCTGATGAAATCTCCGGCCAAGTATTTGAACCTCGACAGACGCTCCTCGTAGACTCCGAGGGCCACCTTCAGCTTCTCCAGCTTCTCGTCGATGATTTTGTGGTCAGTCGTCCCGCCCATGAACATGGGCACGACAAAGGCCCTGTTTAGATACTCTAACTCGGTTAGAGGTTAGAATTAGATTCTAACCCTAAACTAATTCTGAACTAACTCTAACCAAAGAGGTGTTTGGATGATAGGGTTAGATGGAGCACGGATACGGCGAGGCGCTTTCACGGACGGTGCGAGAGGGAGGGAGGAAGAGGATGAGAAGCTTCGTGAAAGTGGGAAGGGATCTGCTGCGGGAAGAGCAAGAGAAAAATGTGTTTTTTAGTGGTCCCGAGAAGCACTGGAAGGTGATCGCCGACATAGCCTTGTTGAAGTTGTGGGACTCCGCGTCGAGCCACGCGTCGACCGACGCGGCCTCGGCGAGGCTGCTCTCCCTTAGAAGATCGGATGCGCCTTTGCGGAGCACGTACCTTGAAATCGCACACGATTCTGGGATGACAACATAATACGAAAGTTAAATCTGAATAATTATTTTTCAGAGCAATTTGCTCAGTCTATAGCTAAGCTAACACAAAGATGTTGTTCTTTCAGGCTTTTCCTTGTGTTTGTGTGTCGACACGATATATATAGAAATGTGAATGAATATTTGTTCTCTCACCGAAAAGGATGAGATCGCCGTCCTGGAAAGCCGGGACCTGGCCAAAGGGCTGCAAGGCAAATACAAAGCTGATGAACAACCAGACATGTTAAGCATGGTTAGCTAGCTAGACTTTCTGAATCTGAACCTGTACGCGGCCTAGCAACCATCACTCAAAATCTCAGCCGGGCAATCTAAGGGTACTCGTTATGGAAAGAGAAATCTCAGTGAAAGCAATCGGCTGCTGGAAGAAGAGGTGAGCGGCACGTACGCTGCGGGCGAGGTGCGCCGGGCCCTTGTGGTCGCCGGCTGGGAGGTGGACGTGCGCCAGCTCGTACTCGGCGCCGACCTCCTCCAGGCACACCAGCACCCGCGCCACGCAGGTGGATCTCACCGGCCCGAACACCTTCACCTTCAAATTCATGATCTTTTTAACTTGGTGAAGTAAAAAAATGTTTTTTCGTTTAAAAAAAATCATGGATTAGAAAATCAGTTCACGAACTAGAAAAAAAATCAAGAATTGAAAAAAAGTTCATGAATTTGAAAAACTTCATGAATTCAAAAAAGTTCGTGCATATGAGAAAAGTTCACGTATATGCTTTTTTCATGAATTTCAAAAAGTTCACAAATTCAAAAAAGTTCAAGAACTTGAATAAAAAGTTCACGCATTTGACAAACATTCATAGATTTTTAAAAAGTCCACACATTTAAAAAAATCACAATTCAAAAAAAGCCATAAAACAAAAGAATGGTTGCCGTGGATCAAAGCACGGAACTCACAGAAGATCACTGGGCGGAGGAAGAGGCAGACGAGTGATGCCATGCTAACGAACCAGCAGCGAGCACCCTATCGCTCTCAGCCACACACCTGCCAAATCCCCCAAAGTTAACAGTCGTGTCAGGGTGTCGCACGCCTAGAAACCACACATTCCACACAAATGTGTCTCTTACCTGTTAACATTGGCCACCAGTTGTTATAAAGATCACATACCTAAAGAAGACAGAGTTGTAGAGATTTAGGCAACATCGAAAAAGGATAAAAATACTGACACCAAGACGTTAAATGTCCAACAAGTCTGCAACTAATATTGCCAGGGCAGCAAGTCTTTGACTATGAAAACATGTCCTCATACTGCGTGATAGTGCCATCGTCTCCTTTGATGTTCTTCAGATACAAGTGCTGGAATGAGTAAAAAGCGGACAATAAAAAACATTGCAGGCATAGTGAGTAAAAAACAGTATGATCATGAACTAATTACCTGATAGCCTCATATAACCGAATTACAATCATATGATTTGTTGCCGAGTGACCATAAACAACCTGTCAGGATATTAAGGATGCTCTCAACCTGTCTAAATACACAGAGCCACACGGTGTCACAGTCCATGTTTTCAGTGTGCGTTGGACTAACGAATTGCTACCTCTGTCAGATTCAAACATGATTGCAGCCTTGCAGCTGACAAAATAATACTCATGTGCAGCAAAGGGAAATTTTGTGACCAGCATCCTAGTCATCCATGGAAATACCCACGGGGTCGAATTTCATGACCAACATCTACTCTGGATGACCATACTGTGATTGACGAGCAGAATCGCTTATACACGAAAGTAAAGGTAAAAATCCAGACCCATGGGTGTTGTCTCTGGCTGGAAACCGCGGTGGTGATAGTGGTCATGGATGATGTTGTTGGGCTCGAGATCTGCCTCCTCAGCCAGTTCCCCCAATAGCAGCCGCTGGAACTCATCGTGGTGATGGTGGTGGTGGTCATGATTGTAATCATTGACCACAAGCTCTCAGATGCAGACCAAAAATAAATAAATAAGCAGAGGCGAGCACGACAGCGGCATCAAGCAAAGAGGAGTACCTAGTGGTGGCAGGAAGAAGCCGAGTCGCCAGGATCGGGCGGATCGGGGATGCCTCGTCAGTGGCGCGGCAGAGAGAAGGGGGCCGGTGACGAAGATGGGGCGGTGGAGGAAAGGGTGGGAAAAGGGGAGGCAGAAGGACGGGGGCGGCGGCGGCGTCAGGGAGGATGAGAGGAGGCGACGACGGCAAGAGGGAAGGGAGTCGTGGGAGAGACCCGTGCTAGGTCATGACCCGTCTGGATTGATCGAGACGACTTGACCAACCAATCCAGTCACGCCTTTTCTTTTCCCCAATCGCGAACTACTACGGAAGCAGTACGTCGGGCAACGTGGCATGCGCGAGTGTCCGCACCTTACGCCACTGTTAATGGGTTTGATTGCTATTCAGAATGGAACCAAGACAAATCATCTCCACACAACTTCCATTCCACAAAGTGTTGGATATTTGTGTGGTTTTCAACATGGTTATTATTTAACACAAAGCACACACTACAACACCATTCTTTTTACGAAGCATCCATAAGCTCCATGACCTTCTTCACACTCGGCCGATCCATCATGCAATCAACCCACGCCTTCACATGCGGATACGCATCGAGCACCGACGAGCAGGGGCTGGCCAGCAGGTTGTGAGCCATGGGGCAATGGCTGAGGTCGGACAGGCTGATGAAATCTCTGGCCAGGTACCGGGATTTGGACAGACGCTCCTCGTAGACTCCGAGGGCCACCTTCAGCTTCTCCAGGTTCTCCTCGACGACCCTCTGGTTGGTCGTCCCGCCCATGAACATGGGCATGACGAAGCACTGGAAGGTGATCGCCGACATGGCCCTGTCGAAGTTGTGGGACTCAGCTTCGAGCCATGCGTCCACCGCCGCCGACTCGGCGAGGCTGTTTTCTCGGAATAGATCGGACACGCCTTTGCGGAGTACGTACCTTGAAATCGCGCGCGACTCTGGGATGACAATATATATATACGAAATATAAATCATCTGAATAATGTTGTACAGAGCAATTTGTTCAGTTTGCAGTGAGTCAATTGTAAGAAACCACCACATTTGTGGCTAGGTTTGCAGAAAACCACCAACTCATTAATCCGTTGCAAAAAACACCGCAAAATCATTTAAGTCGTTGCAAAAAGCACTGATCGGGTGATTTAGCCCGTTTGATCACTTTCTGACAAGTGGGGCCTGGCTGTTAAGAGCTGACTTAGCAAAACATTGACACACACACCCCCTAGAACTTTTAAAAAGTGCAATCAGCCCCCTCGGTGTGGACAACCTCAGCGCACTGGCCCTGCTGTCTGATTGGCATGGCGGCGCCCTCGTCGGCGTCGGAGATGGGTACGACCGCGATAGAGGACAAGGAGGCGGCCGGGGTGTGCGCATTTTCGAGGCGTTGGCCTGCCGGTGCTGAAGCGATGTGGAGGACGCGTCGGAAGCCGAAGCAGAGGAGCGGCAGCCTCCTCTGATGTGGTCGGCGAAGAGAGTGGAGGGGAGGAGGCGACGAGCTCCACCTGCTCGACAAGCCATTCCTGTCACCCTCCTCCATTGAAGAGGATGAGCTCGAGCCGGAGCACCTGCTCTGGCGCTGCCATGGCAGAAGCACTCGCGGCGTCTGCGCCATCGAGGGAGGGAAGCGGGTGGGCTTCCAGCGGCGGCGACGGGAGCCAGTGGGGGCGGCGCGGTGACGGGATCCAGCGGCGGCGATGGGAGCCAGTAGGGGCGGCGCGGCGACGGGAGCCAGTGGGGGCGGCAACGGGAGCCGGTGGGGGCGGCGCGGAGACGGGATCCGGTGACGGCAACAGGAGCCGGTGGGGGTGGTGCGGCGATGGGAGCCGGTGGGAGCTGATTGGAGCAAGGGACGGGGATTGGGAGGGAGGGTTTGATTGCTATTCATTTTTAGATACAGGGGTGTGTATGACATTTGGTTGCCAAGTCAGCACCTTACAACTCGGTCCTACCTGTCAGAAAGTGATTAAATGAGCCAAATCACCGGATCAGTGCTTTTTTGCAACGACTTAAGTGATTTTGTGGTGTTTTTTACAACGAATTAACGAGTTGGTGGTTTTCTGTAAACCTAGCCACAAATGTGATGGTTTCTTGCAATTGACTCGTTTGCAGTCTATAGCTACACGAAATGTTGTTCTTTCTGGGGTTTTCTTGTGTTTGTGTGTCGATACGAGATATATAGAAATCTGAATGAATATTTATTCTCTCACCGAAAAGGATGAGATCGCCGTCCTAGAAAGCCGGGACCTGACCAAAGGGCTGCAAGGCAAATACAGAGTTGAACTAGGATCAGACATATTAAGCATGGCTAGCTAGAGTGCTAGACTACTTTCTGAATCTGAACCTGTACGCGGCCTAGCAACCATTACCCAAATTCTCAGCCGGGCAATCTAAGGGCATTCGTTATGGAAAAAGAAATCTCAGTGAGGCTGCTGGAAGAACTGAAGAAGAGGTGAGCGGCACATACGCTGCGGGTGAGATGCGCGGGGCCCTTGTGGTCGCCGGTGGGGAGGTGGACGTGCACCAGCTCGTACTCGGCGCCGACCTCCTCCAGGACCCTGCTGATGTACACCTCTTAACTGAAGAACAGAGCAACTACTCTGAAGAAATCGACATCGATGATGAAGCGGTACGCACCTGGGAACGGACGGCTGGGATGGAACAGATGGACATCAACGGTCGACAATGGTAACGGTTCTGTTCACCTTCACGCCGTTGCCGCCACCCTCCTGAAGCCTACAATGACGGAGCGGGTCTGGCACGGCGTCGCCACCAACCTGCCAGCTATTTAGCCCCTTCAAGACGTCTCTGGAGTCATCTTTCCCTTTCTCCAAGTTGTAATGGCTAACCTAAGTGTAGAACCCTAGACTACTTGGTAGAATTCGGGCAGATCCTCGATCTGAACCCCTGTATCTGTACTCTGTTTCTCAAAATTAATACAATCGGGGCTAGTTCGAGTAGTTGTGTTGTTGATCGGAGTAATTTGGTCCTGTCAATTGGTATCAGCAGCCAGTCGTTCCTCGGAGGCGATTCGGTCGAAGCAGGCTGTGGTTGGGTCTCGGCTTGGTAAAATTCCACAGCGGGTTGTCGATCGCGGCAGCGGAGTTCGTCGGAGGCGGATTTTGGCGGCGGAAGGGCGAGGTCACGAGCCAGGGTTGCAGACTTGTTCTGTTGTAAAATTCCAGAGCCGGTGATCGCCATGCCTACCAGGACGAAGCACATGGACGAGATCTCGGACGAGCTCGAAGCTCTTCAGAGCGAAGTCGCTGCACTCGGCCTGAAACAGGACAAGATCCAGGATCAGATGGATCTAGTCAACAATCGCTTACAGACGATCGATTCCTTAGAGAAGCAATTGGGCAAGGTGGAACTCTTGGTGGAAAACAATTCCAAGGTCCAGCAGGAGATTTTCACTATCCTGAGGGAGATGCGGTCTGAAAATCCCAACCCACCCTCCCTTGTTTCTCAAACAGAAACAACAGTGGTTGTCCCACAGCGGCAAAATCAGCAAGCACAAGCAGAGACTCGGGAAAGAGAACTAGCAAATCAAGGGGCCACAACGGACCAGCAACGTGTGCAGCAATTCCAAGGGCAATCTTCAGGTACTGTTCGAAATGAGGGACAACAAGCACCAACACTAAGGAACACAGCAATGCAGTACCAATCTGACCGCAATTCAATTCATGAAATCCATTTCCAAGGGACCTAAACTAGATTTCCCTAATTTCAGTGGTGAGAACCCATTGGGTTGGATCAGGCAAGTTAACAAGTACTTTCAGTTAGCACAAACTCCTAATGAATGCAAGGTGGATTTATCACTCACCTATATTACAGGTCGAGCTGATAACTGGGTAAGAAGTGCCCAAATGGATAACAAAGCATTGTCATGGCAAGAATTCTGCAGAGCACTGTGTGACAGATTTGCAGATTCAAGTATTTATTAAGTACTTAAAAAATTCCATAATCTGAAGCAGAACACCCTGTCAGTAGCTTCTTACACTGACAAATTTGAGGAAATCATGGCAGTCGTCAGAGATGAGCACCCCTATTTGCAGGAGAACTACTACATAGTCAGCTTTGTCAATGGACTGAAACCTAGCATACGATGCAATCTCAGACCACAAAGGCCAACAACTCTCAACCAGGCTTATTGGTTAGCCAGAGACTATGAAAGTGGTCTGCAAGCTAAATATCAGTCTTATCAGGATAAACAACTGCAGTATCATTCCACACAGCAACATAAAGCAACTATTCCAGCAGCACCCAACTTACATGTTCCACAAGCAGCACCTGCCACAAAGAAACCTGGTATATGCTGGAGATGCAATGGTCCATGGGCACCTGGACATAAATGCAAGCAAGCTCCTGCAATACATGCTATAATAGGAGAAAATGAGATCACAGACCTTTCTCCTAAAGAAGAAGCTCAACTGGCTGTCCTAGCAGCTGAAGCACATTTAACTGAAACCACAGCTGACTGTATGCACATCTCTGCACAAGCAGTTTCAGGGAACACTTCTTACTCTACATTAGCAGTTCACATCTCTGTTGGGGGCAGACAGGGAGTTGCTTTGATTGACACTGGCAGCACAAATACATTCATTGATCTCAAGTTTGCCCTCAAGGCCAAGTGCCAACTCATAAACACACCCACCAAGAAATTTACAGTAGCCGGGGGAGGTTCACTCACTTCTGGTGCATGTGCCCAGTCCTTAAAATTCAGAATTGGCCAAGAAACATTCTGCAATGATCTGACAGTACTAGAACTGCAAGGATATGATATAGTGATTGGTTGTGACATGCTCAAAAAGCATAGCCCAATTTCCATGGACTTTGAAGAAAGAACTGTCACATTCACAAAGGACAAAGCTACTCAAATAACTTTTCCAGACTGCACTAGTACTGAACCACCAAAAGTTATTACTGCAGATAAGATGAACAAACTACTGGACAGTGGAGCAGTAGGTTTTGCAATGGGCTTACACTTCATGACCACTGGCCATCTCTCACCAGTACAAGAGCAGCACACACCTGAAGATATCTTGCAAGTTTTAGAGCAGTACAAGGGACAATTTCAGGAACCAACTGAACTACCACCAAAGAGAGAATGTGATCATGCAATTCCACTTAAAGAAAACTCTACGCCTCCAAATGTGAGACCATATAGAGTTCCACACTTACAGAAAAATGAGATGGAACAGCAGATCAAGATCCTTCTGGCTAGAAACATCATACAACATAGCATGAGCCCATATGCATCTCCTGCTATTTTAGTCAGAAAAAAGGAGGTACTTGGAGACTGTGTATTGATTACAGAAAACTGAATGCACAGACAATCAAAAATAAATTTCCTATACCAGTGATTGAGGATTTATTGGATGAACTCTCCATGGAGCAGCAATATTCAGTAAATTGGATCTCAAGTCAGGATATCACCAGATCAGAATGAAACCTGAAGATATACACAAAACAACATTCAGAACATATTAAGACCACTTTGAGTTCTTGGTCATGCCTTTTGGTCTCACTAATGCTCTTGCAACCTTTCAAGCACTGATGAACAGGATATTTGCACCTTATTTAAGGAAATTTGTCTTGGTTTTCTTTGATGACATCCTGATTTTCAGCAAAACCCCAGAGGAACACAAGGAGCATTTAAAGATAGTGTTGGACATCTTGGAAAAACACAACCTCTTCCTCAACAGATCCAAGTGCACATTTGGTACAGACACTGTTGAATATCTTGGTCATGTAATCTCTGCACAAGGTGTTGCAATAGACCCTGAAAAGATCATAGCAGTGAAATAGTGGCCTATTCCAACCAACCCTACTGAAATAAGGAGTTTCTTAGGGCTGGCAGGGTACTACAGGAGATTCATCAAAGATTATGGGTTTATTT